GCTACAGCGAGAGTCTCGTTTCGACGAGGAGCCGCTGGCCTAGCGAATGCGACTGCGGCTGGTGGCGAGAACACTCTTTGAAAACGGTTCCCGCATGCATCCGCGTAGCTGTTGGAAGTTGTGAGAAGGAGCGAGCGGTCGGAGTGGGGAGGCAACGAACTTTTGCTGGCAGCGGTTGCGAAGTAAAAGTCAGGGCCACTAGCGCCGCTCTCAACCTGGCGCAGGCTATGCGGGGGCGCCCGCGAGAGCCAGCGCGACGCGTGACGCGACGCCAGGCGCGAGACTGAGTCTAACTCCAAATATCTAGAAATACAAGGACGCTGACACGGCGTGGCCTCGAAGCGCTCACTCATTGCGATCGCGGCCCGTCTCGTCGTGACCCACGGCGGCTGGCGAAACGTAGGCGGGCTCGCGCTCTGACGGGGCGTAGGCGTGGGCTGGTTGCAAGAGGCGAACCCCCTCATGATTGCGCCCTCCATCACGTGCTGCGGCGGCGTGGGCTCAAAGAAACCAACGGATCTGCACCGCTCCGCTTCGCGCCATCGCATCGCGGCGTAGGCCGCGGGGTCGTAGATCGGGGCGTGGGGCCAACCGAACCACATCATTGGCTGAAAGTCAGGAATAATGACCGATGGGGGGGGGCCTCCACGCCTGCTGCGACGATGATGCGGACAGGGCTGCACATTCAACAAAATCATCTGATTTGCCAGCGCCCAGGCTGCCTGCAAATTGCGCGGGCCACCGGCGACGGTCAAGCACCTCGCGCCGTCGCGCCATGCGCGAACGTTCGCCGTGCACTGGTGCGTTCTCTGGATCTCTGCCTTGTCATCTGAGGTCAGCGTTCCGACGTCCCCAGGAAGTGGAGAGGGGCCCAACAGCGCAACAGCAGGAAGATTCGCCATGGCCTCGGTCTGGTCTGGGCGCATGCACGCCTTGGCCAATGGGTGAATCCGAAAAAGGCGCCCAGCGATTCGAAGCCAAAACGGCGGCGGAAGAGGGGGGGAGCAAGGGCGGGGGGGCACTATTTGTTTAAGTGCTTCGTTGCCCTGAATACGCAAACGAGCAGAGTTTCCCCAGACAGTGTTTGCAGGGGGCGGCCACTCAGTAAGTCGCTCAGTCAGTCAGCCAGGTAATCGCGGCAGCCAGTCAGCGAGGCCAGTCAGTCAGTCAGTCAGGCAGTCAGTCAGTCAGTCAGTCAGCCAGTCAGTCTCTCAGTATCTCTCTCTCTCTCTCTCTCTCTCTCTCTCTCTCTCTCTCTTCTCTCTCTCTCTCTCTCTCTCTCTCTCTCTCTCTCTCTCTCTCTCTCTTCTCTCTCTCTCTCTCTCTCTCTCTCTCTCTCTCTCTTCTCTCTCTCTCTCTCTCTCCTCTCTCTCTCTCTCTCTCTCTCTCTCTCTCTCTTCTCTCTCTCTCTCTCTCTCTCTCTCTCTCTCTCTCTCTCTCTCTCTCTCTCTCTCTCTCTCTCTCTCTCCTCTCTCTCTCTCTCTTCTCTCTCTCTCTCTCTCTCTCTCTCTCTCTCTCTCCTCTCTCCTCTCTCTCTCTCTCTCTATCTCTCTATCTCTCTCCCTCTCTATATCCATATGTCTGTCTTGCTCTTCCTCCGCCCCCTAGCTCTGCCCCCCACCCCCCACCCCCCCCCTTCCCCACTCCTGCCCCCGTCAGCCCGCCGCGTCGCAGCGTGGTCTGCGCAGCGCGAGCCCTGCAGCGCTGCGGGCCCCGCAACTGCCGAACGCCGCGAGTCCCCCACCACGTCGGCGCTTTTAAGGGTGGGGGGGGGGGATCGGGATCACCCGGCCCCCCCGACGGCCCACGGGAACAGGGCCCGCGCGCCCCGAGGCAATTCAGGACATGCCCCCCAAGACTTCCCAAGACAGCCCAAGATATTGCACAACAACCAACCGACAACCAGAGATTGCAACCGAGAGACAGCCCAGAGATTGCACAACAATCTTGCCAGCCAACTAACGAACGCAAACATTGCGTCAGATGGCCTCTCGACTGGCGTGGCATATGCATGGCCCCAAGACTTGCCTGCCCACCAACCAACCAACCAACCAACCAACAAGCCAGCCAAAGGCCGAAGGGGCCCGCTGAAGGTCGGGGCCGGGGCGGGCGATCGCGACCCCCTCTTCCCTGACAGGCTGCCATCCCCAATCAGCTTGAAAACTACGGCCCGTCTGCCAAGGGAGGGGAGTCGCGATCGCCCACCCGCGGGAGCCCCCCCTTCCGCGGTTGCCGCTCCCCCCCGCCCCCGGGGGCGAGGGCAGCGCAACCCGGCGTAGCAAGATTCCCCGGGCAACCCAAGAGGTGGCCAATCAACCAACCAACAAACCAGCCCAAGACTGCGCCCCCAAGACAGCCCAAAACAGCCCAAGATATTTGCTGCCAGCCAACCAGCCCAAGACTGCCTAAGATGACCCCAAGACTGCCTTACATTAAAAAGCGCCGACGCGCGGGCCTCGAGGCGCAATCCGCGGGCCGCCTGAAGGGCGGCGGCCCCGAGGCAGATGAGCGCGTGGATATCCGCCCACCCGCGCCGACGTGCATGCCAGGAGGCGTAATCCGCAGGCCGCCGAACGGCGGCCCCCAGGCAAATGAGCGCAGATGGAGCTGCATATCCGCCAGCCCGCAAAGATGCGCGGGCCACGAGGCGCAATCCGCGGGCCACTTTGCGAACGGCGGCCCGCCCGGCGCATGAGTATACATGCTATGGCGCGGTTTGCTCCGCGAAGTTCAATGCGCGCGACGACGACGACGGTCCCCGACAGCGAGCGCTTCCAAGAATGACTTCAGTGAATGCTGATACCCGTGGGGTCAGCTTCCAAAGAACAGCGCACGCCAAGCGTGCGAGGCCTTGGCGCTGCAGTAGCGCTTTGGGCTATTGGGCGTTTGGGCGTTTGCACTGCGAGGGGCTATCTCGTTGTGGCGTCTCGTTGTTGTCGCTGGTTGTCGGCTTCCTCGGCTTCGTCGTCGGGTTTGCTTGTGGTCGGCGACGTCGGCGTCGGCGACGTCGGCGTCGTAGCGTTTGGCGCTTGTTTCATAAGTGGCCGTAAGTCGCCATAACTGGTCATATCTGGTTTGCGCAAGTGGTCAAGAGGCTAAAATGTTTGTACCACTTGCCAACGATGCGGCCTAATAACCATCTGAGTTGCAAATTAATTGGAATCGTGCGTCTATTTGGTGTTCTGCGCGCGTGCAAGTTCTCGGCCACTTGCATTTGACCTGTATCCTGAGCAACCACTTCACAAGTGTTGTACACTTATGTAACTGTTACGTTCGGTTGTCAGTCTTATACCATAATTTGCATGGCTTGTGACCCTGGTTACACGGGTTAGCAAATCATCTACAACAGACGATCTGCGCCCGGCGACCAAAGTATCAAATATGACGCACCATCGATCGAGTTGTCACGCGAGTACCCTAACGGGCCCGGGCGGGCGGGATAACAAGTAATACTGCATCATCGAGATGGCACGCGAGCGCGCGAACGGGCGGGACGGGTCCGGCGAGCGGGCGGACCCTAACGGGCGGGACGGGTCGGGTCGGGTCCGGCGGACCCTAACGGGCGGGACGGGTCGGGTCGGGCGTGCGGGACATGAAAGTATGATGCGCCATCGAGTTGGCACGCGAGTACCCTAACGGGCGGGACGGGTCGGGCGGGCGGACCGTGACGGGCGGGACGGGTCGGGTCGGGCGGGCGGACCCTAACAGGCGGGTCGGGTCGGGTCGGGAGGGCGGGACATTATAAATGATGCATCATCGAGTTGGCACGCGAGTACCCTAGCGGGCGGAACGGGTCCGGCGAGCGGGCGGACCCTAACTGGCGGGACGGGTCGGATCGGGCGGGCGGACCCTGACGGGCGGGACGGGTCGGGTCGGGCGGGACACAAAAGTATGATGCACCATCGACATGGCACGCGAGTACCCTAACGGGCGGGACGGGGCCGGCGGGCGGACCCTGACGGGCGGGTCGGGTCGGGTCGGGCGGGCGGGACACAAAAGTATGATGCACCATCGACATGGCACGCGAGTACCCTAACGGGCGGGACGGGGCCGGCGGGCGGACCCTGACGGGCGGGTCGGGTCGGGTCGGGCGGGCGGGACATTAAAGTATGGTGCACCATCGAATTGGCACGCGAGTACCCTAACGGGCGGAACGGGTCCGGCGGGCGGGCGGACCCTGAAGGGCGGGACGGGTCGGGTCGGGCGGGCGGACTCTGACGGGTCGGGTTCGGGTCGTGTCAGGCGGGCGGGACATTAAAGTATGATGCACCATCGAGTTGGCACGCGAGTGCCCTAACGGGCGGGACGGGTCGGGTCGGGTCGGGCGGGACGGGTCGGGTGGGTGGCCCTCGATGATGGATGAGGAGGGAGAGGGGAGGGGGAAGTAGGGAGGGATGTAGGGCAGGGGGACGTAGCGACAACGAGGGATGGTGGAGGGCGGGAGAGCAGAGGGGGATGGATGATGATGATGATGATGATGATGATGGTGATGATGATGATGATGATGATGATGATGATGATGAGGAGGAGGAGGAGGAGGAGGAGGAGAGGAGGAGGAGGAGGAGGAGGAGAAGGAAGAGAAGGAGGAGGAGGAGGAAGAGGAGGAGGAGGAGGAGGAGGAGGAGGAGGAGGAGGAGAGAGAGAGTAGCAGGAGGGAGCCGCCTCTATGGAACCAGTCCTGTGGAACCAACTCTGGAACCAATCCTGTGGAACCGGGCTTGTAGAACCGGTTCTGTAGAACCGGTCCTGCGGAACCGGTCCTGTGGAACCGGTTCTGTGGAACCGGTTCTGCGGAACCGGTCCTGTTGAACCGGTCTTTGTTGAACCGGTCGTCTGTTGAACCGGTGTCTGTTAAACCGGTCGTCTGTTGAACCGGTCCCTGCTGAACCAGTCGTCTGTTGAACCGGTCTTCTTCCCTCTGGATGTTGAACCGGTCTTCTTCCCTCTGCATGACAACAACCATGACGACCACATCCATCAGGTGGCCCCCAGGGAAGGTCCCCGAAAGAAACATCACACGATGAGAGGTAGATCTCCGCCTCGGACGGTGGGCACCCGCAGCCCCCGCGGCCGCGAAAATCCGGGCCAACGGCCGAACCCCGAGCGCGCGGCCGCGACCGTGGCAGACGCTGGGCCTGCCCGCATGCGCGTGCGGAGGGGCGCCCGTGTACCACAGCCGTGCCGGACGCATGCCCCAGGCCCCAACGTGATGTGTTTACGCACCCAGGGTCTCGGTGCGTATGCCACATTGGAAGTTGTTATGTCTCACCAAGTTGGGCGCGTACACCGAAGAAATGGATGCGTGTACCACGTGGTGAGAAAATCGTTTTCTGCTTCATCACTTTGGATATCTGGGTCAACAAATATTCCGGACATTCAACGCTGTGAAAAAAGAAGCCGCAAAAACGGTTATGTTTCGCCGACTTCGGCGTCTGCGGGGCGGTCGCCGGGCCCGGTACTTCAAACACAATCCGTGACGAGAATAGAATCCTCGGGAAGCGGACCAGAACTCAGGGGAAAGTGCATTGAAAAACACATCGTCCGATGCCTTGGTATAAACACTCAATCGGGCGACATCAACCGACCACCTCACTGGTCTTGGCCTGATTCACCATGGGCCCACGACTGGTGTCTGCGCTTCCGTGGCCAGACTAGGAGGGCGTGTACACCCCCTGAGATCTTACGTCGCGAATAAAATCAACCTTGCGAACACACAAGACTGAACAATACAACCTCGCGAACAAACACGACTGGAGCTCTAGACCCTGTCTGCAGCACTTATCGAGCGGCATCCACATGTGATGGTCCTTGGGCCCCAAAGCTAGGGACACCGCCCGTTTAGGAAAAAGTGCAACGCCCAGATCTCAGGCCAGTACACGGGTCCTGGGCCCAAGTCGGCTCTGGCCACGGTCGGTGAAGTGGCCAGCCGACGCCGCCCGACTCCTGGCCGAGGCCATGCAGGAAGACCCACGCTGGCCGATTCCGGAGGCCCTGGACCCCCAAAAGCTGACATCTCACTTTGGCTTCCGCCGCCCTTCGCCCGACTTCCGCCGGCGGACCCGCCGCCAGCTTGCTGCCGCCGGCTTCCGACGAAAGGCGAGACGCGCCGAAGGCGAAACGCGCCGAAGGCGAGGCCCTCTCTGGAACGCTGCAGCCATCCCGGGGCCGAGGGTGCCCTGGCCAGTGGCACGGTGCGAATGAGTCTGCCGATGCACAATGACCCAGAGATCCAACGTCTTCATTTTTCAGTGTGGAGCCCCGAGAAGTCCCGACCGTTTCCCCATGGCCAGCTGGGCATCCTGGGTCGGCTTCTAGCGGTTCGTACTCATGCTCCTTGAGGAAATTGGATGTCATGCCGGGGTGTCGCCTGTTGCGCCTGCTGCCCAGTCGGTGGGCGCCCGTGGGCGTCTCGTGGGCGCCTCAGGTTCAGGGGGCATGCCGAGGTTTCGCCTGGTGTCCGCCCGCGGGCGCCCTGCGCTGGGGGGGTATGCCGAAGTTTCTCCTGGTGCCCGCCTGTGGGCCCCTCGTGGGCGTCCCGCGCTGGAGGGGTATGCAGAGGTCTCGCCTGGTGCGCCCGTGGGCGCCCAGTGGGCGCCCCGCGCTGGAAAGGGCGTTTATGAGCTTCGCCGGGTGCCCGCCCGTGGGCCCCTCGTGGGCGCCCGTGCCCGCTCGTCCGCGCCTCGTGGGCCCCTTCCGCATAGCGTACACCACATAGCTCACACTGCACAACTTGGACAACATAGCTTACACAAGATAGCGAACGTACTAGTGCACGACATTGCTTGCACACAACAGCGTGCACCACCAAGATTATACCGCATGGCTCACGCCGCATAGCTCACGCCACATAGCTCACACACTTAAGCTTACACCATATAGCTCACACCGGACTGCTTGCGACGCCTAGCTTGCACAACATAGCTTATACCGCACAGTTTACGTCGCATCTCTGCCGCCTGCACGGTGAACACACTCATTGTTCGGGGCCCACGTTGGGTAGCATTCCATCACCCGTTCTCAAGACGTCCGATGGATGCCCCAGCGCTCTGCCTGCGCAGCCGCGCTCGTGCAGAGGGGGGCGGGGCAACCTCCAGGCGCCGCGCAGCCGAGCAGCGCGGCGCGGGGCGATGAAAAAAACGGCGGCGGAGGGCCGCGCGCGGCTCAGCGCGCGAAGCCCTGCGGCACGCGCTCCTCGCCGCGCTGGCCCAGGCGGCCCTCCTGGGGAGGGGCGCGGCGGGGACCACGAGCGGCGCTCTCCGCTCACGCCCGTGCCTCCCGCGCCATCGCTGCTCAGACCGTCTAGGGGCGAAACTCCTCTGCTTTGCACAAGCCCCACGCGAAGCCTGGAGCCGAGGGAACCCCCGCGGCCTTGCTCACCTGTTCGAGCCTCCTCCAAGGACCCTGGGGGGACGACGACGACGAAGCCCTCGACGGCGGCGAGGACGACTCGGGCCTGGGCGACTGCGAGGCCCTGGACGACGGCGAGACAACTCGACGGCGGCGAGGCCCCTCGACTGCGGCGATGGACGACGACGAGGAGCAAGCAGGATCAGTCAGCGTCGAATCCGGAAATCGGATCGAATCGGAATCTGCGTCGGATGGGGCTGCATCGGCAAGGAGTCGAGATCGAATCGCATCGGCTACGCCAGGATGCACAATAATGCCATGCAAGCACAGGGCTGCATCGGATCGAATCGGATCGGGCTGCCCAGAATCGATATCGAATAGGATCGGTCGGATCGAAATGGACCTTGCGAGGACGACGATCAGGAGCAGGGCGCTGGGCCAGGCCGCGCTCCTCGCCGAGACATACTCTCCCCCTCTGAAGATGCCAGTGGGGAAAGAGAGAAGGCCTTCCCAGATCCCCTCGCGTCGCGGAAAAAACAAGACGGGGTGGGGTGGGTCAATTTCTGGTCTCCGGAAGTCCTCACGGGACCCCAGGACCGTCAAACATCTGCCCGCGATGGAAAGCGAGATCCTGGGAAAGGGGTCCAAATCTTTTGGGATCCAGGTCGTGGACCCGTCATGACGGCGTCGACGACGCCGTCGACGACGACAACCCTTGAGATCCGGGCCATCCTGTTTGTCACACCCGGCGTTTCCGCCCTGTTGCGGACCCAGGTCGATCTGGCTCGAGTGTCGCAGAAGGAGACTCGGTCTGCGGCTCCAGTCGTGAATCCCACCAGCCCTCTGGGCGTAGGTGGTCTAGAGCAGATCCTCTTCCACCCCTCCCTCTTCCCCCTTGGGGAGGGGTTTACCCCTCCCCCTACCCCCTCCCCTGGACCTGGACGGGGGGGGCCGCGGGTAGTTAGAGCGTCCAAGATGGCCCAAGACGGCTCCAAGAGCGCCTCAGAGAACCCAAGATGAGCTCCAAGATGGCTCAAGATAGCGCAAGATCGCTCACGATGGCTCCTAAGATGGTTCCAAGAAGCCCAAAGACGGCCCCAAGATAACTCCAAGTGGCCAAACAGCTCCCCAAGGAGGCCCCGAAGAGGCCAAAATCGTCCCAAAACCTAAGGAAAATCAATGATTTTTGCTTTCTCGCCTTTTCGCTTCCGATGGCCATCCGAGGCCTGGAGATGGCTCCAAGATGGCCCAAGAGGGCCCCAAGAGAGCCCCAAAAGAGCCCCAAGACGGCCCCAAGAGCGCCCAAGAGCACTCCAAGAGCGTTCCAAGAGGGGTCCAAGAGGCGATTTTAGGGGCTTCCGAGGGGGGGCGCTAATTAAACCCCCCCTCTTGTTTGATCGACTCCCTCCAAGATGGCCCCAAAAGCGCCCCGAAGGCTCCCCAGAGCGCCTCAAGAGGGTCCCAAGAGGCGCCCAAGATGCCCCAAGGCGCCCAAAAAGCCCTCCAAGAGGCCCTCAAAAGACCCCCAAGAAGCTCCTTCCCCTCCTCCTCCTCCTCCTCCGATTCTTCCTCCTTCTCCGTCCTCCTCCTCCTCCTCCTCCTCCTCCTCTCCCCCTCCTCCTCCTCCTCCTCCTCCGACGACGACGACGACGACGACGACTCCTCTTCCATCCTCCCCCTCTCGGGGTCTGTGACAGCTTCCCCCGCCCTTTGTTATTCTGCATGCTCCCCGACTTCCCTGATCACCTCAACTCCCCTGAGCATCGTTTCTGGATGGGCTGGTGGGGATACGCGAAGCGTCAACAATTTCACGAGGTTGCAACTTGCAGGCACCATTGTGTGCTTTCGCACCATTGTGTGATTCCCCCTCCCCCTCCCCCTCCTCCTCCTCTTCCCGGCCCCCCTCCCTCTCTTCCCACCCCCAACGCTTGCATTTGGCAAGCGTGCAGGTCATGTTGCGAATTCTGTGCGTGCACCGAGCCAGCCTCCGTAGAGTGTAGGTCTGCAACACTCTCGCATTTCCTGCCAATCTGTTCTCATGGAATCCGTGAGCCATTCGTGCTCCTGTCGATTCCTTGCCGATGCGCCGTTGCCTGGCGCCTGGTTTGACTGACTGATTGCAATTTGCAGGCGACGTTGAATCTTCAAGGACGCCGACGGCCCCCAGGCGATTGAGCCGCAACTACACAGAGCCCAACGAGAGGCCCAGAAAGGGCAAGACGCATCCCAGACCCTCGGGCCTCTATTGCAGCGGCGGCAAGGCCTTCGACGACGGCGACGACGACGACATCTTCTGAACTCTGGGAGCTCCCTGATGACCTCCTGAAGCCATCAGAAAGCCTGCGAAAGCGCCCGACAACTTTTCTTGTGCCCAATTCGATCCCGCATGCAACGGGTACACAATCAGCGACAAGAACTGGATCCCCGCACGAGCACCCCGCCTCCGAGATGCAAACCTTGACAACCTCCACCGCGTCCAACCTGGGAGCTCGAAAACCTCCGATCCGACTGCATAATGTTGACCCGGAGGTTGAGACCACCGCTTCCCCAGGGCCGCTCTTTCATCCCGAGCAATTTCCGACGGCCCCGGGGCCCCGTGAAGGCCCCCAGAGGCAGAACAATAATAAAAAAAACAACAAAAAAAAAACGTCCGCCATGTTTTTTGTTCGCACCCCGAGGAGACCAGGGCATCGCGGGCGACGACGTCGGCGAGGACGGCGACGGCGGCGGCGGTCTCTAAGAGCTGAACTGCTTTACTGTCCCTCGACTCGCGCTGGAGCTTCCACGATTTCTCCAGATTCAGCTGGATATCTCTGGATTCACCTTGATGTGTCTGGATCTACGTCCATTGGTCTACGGTGAGGAACTTTTGCTTAGCATGTCGTCAGGAAGCAACCCATGGAGGTTTTTGGTCGTCCCCGCTGCGCCCAACAGCGCGACAAATCGGGCGCAAAGCGGACATGATGCGTCTCCCTTACATAGTGCAATTGCGCGCTATCGGTCGCTAGTGAAGCGTCTTGAGCGTTATTCGGCGCTGCTGGCCGCTGCTGGGCGCTATTCGTCGCATGACGGCGCCATTCGCCGATATGATTGAATCCAAGACAAGTGATGGATCTAAGTGTCGCGGCGGCGGCCCCCGCGACATGTTATGCCTTGTAAGCGGATAGCGCATCGCTCTGATTCGTGGGACAGGAGGCTGGGAAAGGCTGGGGACGTTGACGCTCGGCAGTGGGGACGTGGTTAGCGTGTCGCGCAGAAAGCGTGGTGGGCCACGACCGGCGAAGCGGCGCGCCAGCCCAAGTTCCTGACCGTAGATATACCTCGACATATCTTGCCTGAACCCCCGCAAGCCGATTTGAGAGAAGTGGTCAAACCCTTAAGGGCTGGAGGCGGCCGGGGGGTCTGAACTAGATAGGCCCCGGAAAAAAAACTATCAAGAAAGGGGGTGAAAGCAAGACATTCAAAAACGGTCCCCGATCCCCAGACCCCTCTCGGGTTCAATATGGTGTGATGTTTCACACTGTATCCGCTTTTGACGGTCACGGGGCCCGAAAAAAACGCCCAGAACCCACACAAACATAAAGACGTTCGCGAACCTGGCGCCTCGAACCTCGCTCCGTGATGGACCACCTCAGACCACCCCCAGCTCACTGCCACCTGGAGGGGCGAAGGGGCGGGCGCATGGCCGCGCTCGCTCCTCGCCGCGGTCCTGCTGCTCGTAAGTCTGGCCCATGGCGATGCCGGCGCTGTCCTCGGGACGCCGCTCGCCGCCGGGCGCGGCTACTCCGGCAGCTGATGCCCGCTTTCTCCTCCACCTCTTCCTCCTCCTCCTCCTCCTCCTCGTCCTCCTCCTCATCCCATCCACCTTGCCCCCTGGTTCGTCTAGGACCTTGGCGCACAACGTCCCGATCTGCAACACGTGGCGTAAAAATGAGGGCGAGAACTGTCCAGTATAAGATGTCAGCCCGGCGCAATGGACAGGACGTCCCGAACGAGACTTTACGAGCCTGGGTCAACCCCGCTCTTCTATCAGCTCAGGGATCAACTTGCACCTGTGTGTCGAAGACCCCGGTGGCACCTCACAGCAAGGAACCTGACCTTCTTAGTACCGAGCGCCCCACACCAACTACACTAAATTATGTCACCTTCTCCGCACCAGAATCGGTGCGTGGGGTTAGGGAGGCCTGAACATAGGAAAACAGATCGCGCCGCGAGACCAATCTCTGACGCCGCAGATTTGGCAGGCGGATCTCTTGCCCAGGCTATAGCACCAGCTCGAGCAAGTCGGGAGTTTGAGCCGCTGCGGCCGCCGTAGTCCGAGGTCGCCGCGTTTGCGAATATGTCGGACTGGAGCTCGTCGGCCACAAAATCCCCGAGGTCGGGGTTGGCGCCGAAGGTGGGCTCGTCCAGGTAGCCCTTTTGCACTCGAAGAGCAGGTTGCTGTGGCACAAGTGGGAAGAGGGCGGCTGCCCGCTGCAGAATAGGCAACTCCGCCGCGCCGCCATCTTGACTCGGGGGCGCATTCTGATATCCCTCGACCGACGGGGTTCGGACGCCAGCAACATTGTCGAATCCGTCCAAACCGGGGGAAGGGGCCGCAGAGCGTGCTCCAGCACCGTGGAGCAAGTTGGTGCCAGCGAGGTAGGCGTCACTCAAAACGCCGATGCTGGTCGGGCCAGCCTGTTCCACAAACGCACCAGCAGGGGCGTTGCCCAGCGCACCAGCATCACCACAACGGCCACCAGGAATATCATGAGGGACACCAGAGATCACCGTTAGGCCGCCCGGCACACCCACCACGGACGGAAACACATCATGTTCAGGTAATTCGAGCAAGAGGGGGGTCGGCCTGGACAACGCTCGACGGCCATCGCCTCCTCCTCCTCCGCGGGGTAGACCCAAGCGGCGAGAACGCGGAGGAGCTCGACCGCGCCGCCCATTGCCACCGAAGTGACAGCATCGGGGCCGCCGTAGACGTCGCCGTAGACCACACACACACACCTGCTCTCGCTCGTCAAGATGGCCATGAAGTTACTGAAGATGGCCACGGGCACGTTCGAGCTCTTCTGTACCAGCCTCCGCGGCGACGCGCATCGCCAGTGGCCCGCTCGAGGAAGCCGTCGCGGGATCAAAAGCACCCCCGCCGCAATGCGAAGGGGGGCCAAACCTCACCGGGCCCTGGAAACGACAAGGCCTTTTTTTTTGTTTTCCGGTTCCGTTTTGCCGTTTTTCTGGCGGTTCTGACGCCGTTGTTTTACCGGTTCCGCCGCCGTTTTTGTTACGGGTTCCCGCTCTGGCTCCAATCCTGGAACCGTTTTTGTTGCCGTTTCCGGTCGCCGTTTTTTTGCCGTTTCCATTTTCAAAAGTCACTTTTTCGGAAACGGTGAAAAAAAACTGCCCTTAAAGGCCAAGCCGAGCGGAAACGCGCCCAGGCCCGCAGCGGCACCCCCAATCCTCGTCACCCACGCAGTCGCCCTCGCAATGGTGCTCAGGGGCGTCTACAGGGCCCGTCCCTGGAACCGCGGGCCCCGAGCCGGAACTCACCTGGTCGATGCCGGCGTCTGTCGGGCGCGAGTGGCCGGGCCGGTCAAAGCCGCGGTTGTCGTCGCCCGTAGAACAGATGCGCAAAGAATGCTCAGGCAGACCGCCCATCCAAATAGTTCCCGCGTCGTCGTAGGAGTGCGTCTACATCAGGTGCAGCGCCGCGAACGTGGGGGCGCATGCGTTCACCGGGACGAGCAGCAGCTCGCGGAACGTTGAACAGGCGGTCGAAGGGCCACCTCCGCCAAGAAAGCGCCCCTGTCATCCCACCTCGCGCGCGGCGGGTCGGGCGCCCACCCCAGCAGGCGAAGGTGCTCGCGGGCCCAGATTCTCGCGGCTGCCAGGCGGCAGAGACGCGCCCTCGCAGCTTTTCCCCTGGAGTAGCAGAGGAAAACCAATCCGCCGGGCACAACTCCTCCGCCATCTGCCAGCGCCCGGAGAATCGCGGACTCCGGCGGCCGATGGCCCAGGCGCCAAGTTGAACCGCGAGTTGAGCCGCGGTTCGAAGCCCTCGCGCCGCGGCAGTTCGGAGATGTTGGAGACGCACCACGCCGCCCACGCGTCGCAGTCAACGTCGCCAGTCGGAGTGCGCGATAAGGGCGGCCAAGTTGACCACCGCGTAGAGATGCCGCAAGCAAGCTCGCGCCGCCTCCGTTCGCGCCGCGGCTGCGGCGGAGGCTCTCGCGGTCGTCTCTCCCGAGTGGGGAACGGCGCGAACGGGATTGGAGAGAGGTCGCTGAACTAGGGGTCGAGGGCATTCCCCTCGGACCATTCGTCGCCGGGCCACTCGAGCAAGTCATCGCTGCCCTCGAACTGCCGCGCGAGCGATGCCCCTGTCTGGGAGGAACACCTCCTCCGCGCCCACGTGGGAGAGGGCTGAGCAGAAACCGGGGCTCGCTGCGTTCGACGCTGAAGTTGAAGAATCTTAAGACGAAGACGAAGACGGAGAGGAGGATGACAAAATTGACCGATCGAGCCGCTCGCCGCAACGGGAGGCCCCCCAGGACGTCGAGGATGGCGGCCGCGTCTTCGTGGACGAGAGCGGGGGTGCCCCGCGCCGCCCCCGAGCGGCCACAAGCGCTGCAGCAGCGGGAGTGGCGCGCGACCTGCTGGATGGCACAGCCAGCGCCTTCAACTTGATCGCCCCCGTCGCCGCCCCGCAGAGCTGCCCCATCTGGGCCCAGTTCTCCTGCGGGCGGCGCTCTAGGGCAGGCGGCCATGGAAGGGGCAGGGCAAGGCCCTCAAAATCTGGTTCGAGATTGCCCCGCCGAAAGATCGGATCGGCAGGTAGATGTCGTCGGCCCCCCAATCTGGCCATCGCCAACGCCCGCGCGAAGCGTGAGCGCACCAGCATGTGCGGCATGCAGCCGCGGCAATCCTCGCAGCCCAGAACGCGTGGCACTTTTCCATCGGGGTGGGGGATCCTCTGCGACGTCGTCCATCCACCATCGCGCATAGGACCACGCAGCGGGGATGGGGCCGCGCGGAGGGGGTCGCCTGCGGGAGCATCTGGGGCGCCCGCCTCGGCGCAGACGTAATCTCCAGCGCTCTTGCGAGAAACCGCGCGGCCCGCGTGGCGGCGACGAACGGGGCGGTGACTGCCTGGAGCTGGATGTCGCGATCGTGCACTTCCCGCGACTTCCGACGACGCCAGCGCTCCACGAGCACCGCGCGGGCCGTCTGCTTGTAGAGCTTGCGCCTGTGGGGGCTGGAGTTCAGTCTCCGACGGCGGCCGCCGCCGCGGGCGGGTCGGCGCGCGGCGGGCGCGCGAGAGAGAGAGAGAGAGAGAGAGAGAGAGAATACAAAAGAGAGAGAGAGAGAGAGAGAGAGAGAGAGAGAGAGAGGGGGGCGATATGGGGAGAGATGTAGATGATATATCTATATGCAGTCATAGAGAGAGAGAGAGAGAGAGAGAGAGAGAGAGAGAGAGAGAGATAGAGAGAGAGAGAGAGAGAGGAGAGAGAGGAGAGAGAGAGAGAGAGAGAGAGAGAGAGAGAAAGAGAGAGAGAGAGGAGAGAGAGAGAGAGAGAGAGAGAGAGAGAGTGAGAGAGAGAGAAAGAGAGAGAGAGAGAGAGATATAGAGAGAAATAAAGACGCAATCGCAAAACAAACAGACAAATAGTGATAACAAGCATACTAAGGGTACGAATGACACAAATAAAATGGGAGAGAGGGATATATATATATAAAGGGAGAGAGAGGGAGAGAGAGAGAGAGAGAGAGAGAGAAAACAAAAAAGAGAAAGATAAAGATAAATAAGAACAAAAAGAGAGGGGGAGAGAGAGAGAGAGAGAGAGAGAGAGAGAGAGAGAACAAGAGAGAGAGAGAGATAAGAAAAACAAAAAGAGTATATATATAGAGAGAGGGAAAAATAGAAAAGAAAAAAAAGTAGAAAGAGAGAGAGAGAGAGAGAGAGAGAGAGAGAGAGAGAGAGAGAGAGAGAGAGAGAGAGAGAGAGAGAGAGAAGAGAGAGAGAGAGAGAGAGAAGAAAAAAAAAACAATGCGCCATCAGCAACTTGCACGAGCGCGGGGGCGATCGCCCGCGTCGCCCAGGGCGGAAGCCAAGGGGGCGACGGGCCCGCCCGCAATCCACGTCTCCGCCTCCGCGCGGCATTGCTCCTAGAATTCGCAGTGGCCGCCGCGCGCAACGAACGCCGATCTGACGGGCGCGGCCTCCGCGGGGGCATTGGCCGAGTCGGGCCCGGGGCCGACCCGGTCGCGGAAGGGCGCGCAGTCCAGCAGCTGGCGGGCGCCGCCAGCATGGCGGCGCACCGCGACGAGCCCGCGGATCTCGTCTTCGCAGAGCCTGCTGGGGGGCGGGGCGAGCGCATTGCCGCCGAGGGCGGCGCTCGCCCGAGCTCCGCGCAACAGCGCGCTCGCGCCCGCGGGGGCCGCCGTCGCAGCGAGCGCCGAAGCCGTCGATTTGGAGCGGCGCCGCTGGCCGAATCCGAAATAGATCGGCGCGCACGCGGCCGACAAAAAACTTAAGCCTCCCCGGGGCTGGCCCGCTGATATCCTGAGCGGATGCGCCCGGAATGGCAAGCGCGAGCTCCCCCCCCTCCAGCCGCGCCAATTTCGCGCGCGAGACTGTAGGCCCAGCGCGGCGGGGCGTTCGGCTTCGAGCGCGGCAAGCGCGGCCATGGATGATGCCGCGGCCGCTGGGGTGGAGGCGCGCGACGGGGCCCGCTGTCGTCGCCACTGTCGCGACGAACGCGCGCGGCCTCTGCGCCGCAAGAAGGCGAGCGCGAGGGCCTGCGCGGACTCCAACTTGGATGAGGCACTTCTGCGAGAGGCTCGGAAAACCCTGGCCGAAGTCCACGATCGCGAGGATCGGGCGCGCGCCGGTTCCTGACGGCCGAGCAGAGGCCCCCCGCGAGAAGGCTCCATGCCCGACCAGATTTTCTGATAATTTCCCCCGGGGGCGAACGGGGCGGCGCCCTGAACGAGACTGCAACTGGCCGAGTTAAGCAGCGCGGAGACCAGCCTCACGTCTGGGCCACGATGGCCCAACGTGCGAATCTCACCGGAAAATCGTTCGACGGGCCCGTCAGATCGGTCGTCAGGGTTGGCCAGTTAAAGCAGAAAGACCTGCATGGCGCCACCCGCTGCGCGCCATAGTTTGCCACCGTCAAACATCCGCCCCGTCGCCTCCCAGAGCGCGTCGGGGCGCGGGGGCGAAGTGGCCCCGCGCGCGGCATGGGGGCCCGCCGATCGCCCCGGGCGCGCTTCTGGCGCCACTTGCGCACTGGATGGCCCCGCCCATCTCCTGGCTCTAGGGGGCAGCGACCCGCCGTCAATGCGAATTGGGAACTTCGCCCGGCAACGACGGGCAGAGTCATCTTCGAAAGAGGCTTCTGTGAAGACGGGGGGTCCAGATGCCACAGATGGCCTGCGGCTGGTCGCTCTGGTCGAGATTGACTCGGCGCCCATCGCGCACTGCTCGGCGGGCCAGTCGCATCCGGCAGGGTTCCCGCAGGTGGGCCCTCTCTCCGCAGCTTAGATCTTGACCTCCAGCCCCTCATTTTGCCTTGCTTTGGCTGGGCCCACCTGGATGGCCGAAATGTCTTCCTCGGCCGCGCGAGAATAAATGCGCCCAGTCCAGGGCGGAACAGAGCCTGGCCAAGAATGCAAAAACAGTTGCCCACGACGACCGCGCAAGCGCAAGCAGCTGCCTCCGACCAAGCCAGGATGGCGCGAGTGGAGGGCTTCACGTCGCCCCTGTAAGTTGCCCGAGCTGCCTCCTTGACCGAGATGGGCCGGGACTGGGCGCCATCGACGTCCACGGCGAGCATCGGCTTTGAGAACGAGAGTCTCCGCCTCATCCACGAGCTCCCTGAGGCACTGCGGCGAAGATGAGGCGAGCGCGACCGCCGCTCGCCCCCATCGTTGCGCGCCAGCTTCTCGAGGGCGCCAGCGTAGCCGGGCCGCTCGAAGATGGCAGGTGGACGAGCTTGCTCCACAATGGGACTTTGCTCGCTCGCTCGGAGGGCGACCTCGAGGGCGGCGCGGTCGAAGATGCCCTCGTCGCGGCGGACCTCCGGGGATGAGATCACCGCCCCCTGGTAGCTGCGCCAGCGCGTCGTCCTGCTAGGCGTTGCCACCCAACTCAGGACAAAAGACGAGAATTCCTTGACTCCGCGCAGAAAAATGGGCGGGGTCGCCAGGCGAATGCCCAACCGGCGGGTCGAAGGCCCGCTGCTTCTTGGCCGCGCGATCATGAATTGCCGCGCCAATCCAAGGACTTTCTCCACTGGGGCGCGAGAAGCTCCAGCTTCGCGGGGCGCGCAAACATCATGTCGCCAGCAATCGCCACGGGGCGGGACAGGCCCCCCCGACTAGCCCAATCCATGCCTCGGCGAAAATGCCGATGCCGAACGAAAAGGCGCGGTCGTAGATGGCAGCGCCGCTTCTCCACTCCGCCAGCAGCCGCCGACGAGCGCGGCGCGCGACCACTGGCGAGCCCCGCAGGGCGCGCAGCCCTCGCAACAAATTTCGAAAGAGGAAGACTCGCGGCCGTGCCGGCTTTGTTGCAACCCATACCTGCAGAGAGACAACCGCAGAAAACTTTGGAGTAGGTGGCGACAAGCTGAATGCAGACCTTGATCAGCTCATGGGGTTGTTGTACTTCCTGCGTGGCCATAAAGGTACCCGCATTGCCGAGCTGGCGACGGTAGTCGGCCTCCTCGAGCGCTTTGACGCCGCGCCAATGAAGCAGGGCCCGAACGTTCCGAGCACCTAGGGCGATGGACTTGAACACCTCAGAGGTGGGGCCACGCTGAGACTCTGATCCAACAAAAACAACCTCATGCTGCAACGAAAGGAGAGTAGTCAAAAGCACCGCCCTGGTAGACTACCAGGAGCAGTGATGGAGCCGACGTTGTTCGTGTTCTAATGCGCGCTGAGGCGCTTCTCCTCCAAGCCTTTGTCGTTCCCATTGCTGCGGTCGAAGAAGAACCTGCGGTCGCTGTGCTCGTCGCGCACCCTACCGATGCACTGCTGCCTTGAATCTCCACGCGGATGTGGAAAAGGGAGTTGCCAGGGCCGACGTGCAATTGCGTAACCGGTCCCTCCGCCGAGGGAGCGGGGAACTTAGTCCAGCCACCCCTCGTCTTGAGCGCGCATAGCGCCTGCTGGGCCTTTCTGGCGGCCACTGCGACTGGCCCCGAACACTGCCTAGTGCACACAATTTGGACTGGGGCACAACCGACTCGACCTTGAAGGTGCCGTCGAGGTCCGCGTTCTTGAGCCAGGCCTTCAAGGACTGGGTGGCAACGTCGCGCTGCACGAAATCCGTCGCGGTACCTCTGAGGATATTGGCGTCAACCTCGCGTGTGGGAGAAACGTCCGAAGGCTTGGTAGGACTGGTTGAAGGATTCGAGCTGCTTCTGGGGCCGCTACCCGATGTCGTCCAGCTTTGGACGACTGCAGGCGGAGACAACGGGAACAGTTTTCGCAAGGGTGTCACGAATTGCGGCGCTGAGCTGCTGGATTGCCATGTCGATGGAGGCCACGGCACAGGTGGCGGCGGCCAAGGCCGAGACGGCAAACTCGTCCTCGCACTCTATCTTGAAGGTGTCGAATGTGTCACCGATGTGGGGCGGAGAAACTACTTGACACGGTTGCCACACCAATCGTCTTGTTCGCCTTCATCTCCTGAGCTTCCAGCTGTGCGAGTAGAGTGCGAACGGTCATCGTCATCTTTATTTGGAGCAACACGGGGAGGATAACATTCTTGAGGCGGGGAGCCAGCGATACCTTTGCGAAGCGAGCGTCCTTTCTTCTTGAATCGGGGCGATGCGTCGAGCATGATACCAAGGGAACAGGCTGCATAGCGATCGTCAGGAAACCGAAAGCGCACGAGACAGCCAGGAAGGACTAGTAGCCCGCACGCGCGCGAATATGGAGACTGGAGGCGAACTCGACCAACGGATATGGATGGCAGCCTGCAGCGCCGTGAATGTAACCAGGAGAAGGCTGAAGGCTAGCCGCGGAAAAGCCGCATCCATGCAGCACCTTGAACCAAAAAGGCTGCAGATGGAACGCGCAAGGATTGCGGTCACGGGCAGCGGGCAAAGAACGAATCGGGAGGGGTCTTAACTGGTCCGCCCTCTCTCCCCCTCTCGCCCCCCACCCGCCCTCGTGGCCTCATACCCCCGCAACTCGCTGAGCACTGCTGGCTGCCGACAGACCAGAGAAGGCGAGGATGAGCTGGCATCCCCCCGAAGTGCACCTCGGGGACGGTGGGCTGGCATGCACCGAACAACTCCTGGTATTAAATCTTGTCAGCATGACGGTGGGGGAGCGGCGACAAGTGGAGATCCACTGCAGTCGGATCCTCTAGCTGATTCTAGAGCCTCAGGGTGGCAGGCGAAACGGGGCCCAGTGAGACATTGCGTTTGGGATCGAGCCCACCGAGCAGGCGTCTCAACCTGACGCGACCAGTCGATGTGAGTTGGTTCAATGCGAGGCCCCAGAGGCCCCGACCCCATCCCCAGGGCCGAAATCGAGGAAAAGCGCCCAGACTGAAAAAATGAGATCGTAGGTGGTCTGGGCACATCGTGGGCCCCCAACCCCGGGGCCCACCAAAGGGGATCGGCTCACCCCCGTTGGCGCTCACCTCCGCTGCCGTGTGCGCGCTGGCCCCGCGCGGTCCTGCCCCTCGCCAGGCAGCAGCTGCTGCATCAGCCCGTAGGTCGCGGCCTGGGTCGCGCCCGCACAAGGGCTAGTTCGCAGAAGAGGAGGAGGGCCCTGAACGAGACGCAATATCCTCAGGCGTCCAACGTAATGACAAAAATGAAGGCGGAGGTGTTTCGCCGCTTCGGGCTCCTAGGGGCCCTCAGCGGCCACGGGACCGTCAACAAAACGGCTCAAAATGAAAAGACTGCCCTGGAGAAAGGGTCGGGACTTCCAGGGACCCGTGATAAAATCAAGACATCGGTTTAGCATGGCGCTGCCATGGCGATCATGTTGATACCAGGTGCAACCGAATGCAACTCAATCCGGGACACTGCCTGCGGTGCGCACTCCGCAGACAATGACACAGACCTCTGGCAGATGTTTTGTTTCAATCGCTGCCCTTTTCTCGAATCGCCGCCTCACCGGCCCGTGCTCACGCCCAGGGCCACCAGAAAATGCTCAGGGATGTAATGAACTCTATACACTCCCAGGTCAGCGGCAGGGAGCTCCTGAGCCATGGAGACACAAACTGCTTTGTCGCAGCGCTGGCGAACGCACAGCGTGGCCGTGGCGGCAGACCGGGGCGATGGATCTTAAATTGAGCACAGGGGGCACGGGGGAGAGAGAGAGAGAGAGAGAAACAACAAACCATTGAGAGAGAGAGAGAGAGAGAGAGCGAGGCGGCCGCGGAGGAGGAGACAAGGCGGGGAGCGCTCAGAAGAAGACGAACTTCACAAGCGGTGCAGGCGACGGCAGCAGATGGGAAAAACAGATTGCCGGATGCCTGGCGATCCGAGGCCGTCGCCGCCGCCGCCGCCGACGAAGACGGAGTTCGGCGTCGCTGCTTCGGAAGCTGCTGCTGGTGCTCCTGGAAGCCCCATGGGCGTTGTTTACCCGATGCCCATCCCCACTGGAATGACCTTGGCCCCACTGCTCGATCGCCACCCTAGGTGGAGATACATGCTGTTCCCTTCGGGTTTCGCGGTGCCTGTCCCGACCTGGAGGGTGGGCTTGTGGTGTTCAGACGGCATGGCCAAGTAGGGATCTAGATCAGTTAAACGGTGATGCTGAGCCCAAGAACGCGTTCGGGTGTAGGTGAGAGCGCCGCAAGGGGGGCCACGAAGCGTGGGAGGGTTTGGCCGATCTGGGCGCGGCGGCGTGCGGTCGCCGCCAGTGGCCTTCGGTGGAGCTTCCTGTGGGCCACGAAGCCTATGAGAAACGAAGCCTGAGGTTCTAGCTTTGCTGTGCCGCGTCGTGGCAGAGCCAGATGCCGAAGCCCTGGGCGCTTGCTCGCCCTGCTCTGGGGGACCGGGGACCCCCGAATGAGAGCAAAACAGCGCCCACAGACCCCAATCCTCGAGCCTGATATATCCTCCCCTCCTCCAGCAAGGACGCAAGACACGATACCAGCACGCTCCCGCACGAGCATAAGGGGCAACGGGGCGACGATGCTGAGCAACAACAGCAGGAAACAACTGAGATCCGACGTCACGAGCACTTTCACGTAGCCATGTCTCTATCAGGGGGATGTGGTGACCGAAACTCTGCCAGAAAATCTGCCAGAGCCTGACCGAAACTGACCGAAACTGGTGCCCAATATTTGTCCGAAACGCGCCCAGGTGGCCAAACTGCTGGGTTCGAAACCAGCGCGATGTCCAACTTCGGATACAATTTCGGTCAAACTACGTCTATGTTTCCGGTTGTGATTTCGGGCATGTGTTCGTTCACCGATTCTTCTGTCACATAAGGACCTCTTCGGCTGATTGAGGCCGGACGCCATGCCAAATTGCAACATCGCGACAAATCACCAATGCGGCCCAAGGCCCCGTCTTTCTGCAGAACACTCCGGACAGGATCGACCATGTGAGGACGCCCGACGCCCAAGCAAATGCAACGCCCAGATCCCAAGAAGGTGGCGAGCAGCAGTAGGAAGATGGCGAGCAGCTCTCTTTGGAACATGTGTTATTATTCGCGTAGCGCCCGTGACCAGCCCCGCCCCCTAACCCCTCCCTTGGCCAGGTCACAATTCGCGCCGGCAGCGTCTGAGAACGAGCCATTCTGGGGCATTCCGAGACGGCTCCAGCATGAATCGTGACGTGACTGGGCCTCCTCCCCCCTCCCCCTCCAGGTTACGCCCACTATCACCTAGGCGATCAAAAAATGATCCTGGCGAAGGACCCAACCAAATGCAATTGTGAACATCGCCGTTGAAGGTATCGCCTTCAGTTGATGTCCTCAACGGGCCACGGCGCGTGTAAAAGATGTACCGAAATGGGGCGGGGCCATGCGGGCGCTGCTACTGGGGCCTTGGGTATACCTCCTCCTTGATGGGGTGGAACTCCGCATGAGGCCACGAAACGCTGTGTTGGGTGGTGCGGACGCATACGAACGTCGCAACTTGGGCTGTCGGTGGAGATCCCTATGTGGCCACGGAGCGCGTCAGGGGTGTGCCGAACAGGTTGACATGCGGAGAGCAGGGGCACGCAGGGGAGGAGTGAACTCTTTGCAACACTTTGCTCAAGGACGCTCGTCCCTCCTTCTCCCACCTGTGCTGCTACGTGCACAGGTGCTTGTCGCAGCGCTGCTCAGCCGCGGGTCAGACATCAACACGACGCCACCTCACCCTCCTGCTCGATGCGGCAAGCGCACTACGCAAGGCAGGACGGCAAGGGCTACCTCGCCATTCGGGTCCCGATGCGGCAAACGCATTACGCCAAGCGGGAGCGCAAGGGGCGGACGCGCACAGGTGCCGTCAGAGGAGTTTGAACCCACCTCCCGAGCCAACCGAGGCTTGAGCTGCCGATACTCCCCCTTGGCCGCGGAGAGCAACCTCTAGAACTTAGCATACGAAATTTCTTGGCAATCCTACGCAGCTGATCCCTCTCGCAGGGAAGAACGCAGGACAAGGAGGAGGGGGAGGGAGGAGGGAGGAGGAGGAAGAGGAGAAGGAGGAAGGAAGGAGACACGGGGGGCTGTCTCTCCAAAAGGAGGACCCAACACCACAAGATGGTTGGGAACAATCTCAAACCTTCCGTCTTGAATCGTCTTTCGACAATCGAGAGGCCCGTGGAGGGCCCAAGAAGACCGAACGACGCGAATCACTCATGACCCGTCTCTTTCATGGCCACTTCCGGGAAGGGGGGGCAAGAACAACATCAATGACACGCCGCGCCGCCGTGGGGAACCCATCATGATGTGCCTGCTCTGAGGAAATACCGGGCTTCGGCACAAAGAACCAACGAGAAAGCCAGCGACGGGCATCTCAACGACGGCTCTCGATTCCCTTCGTGCCGCCCGAAGATCCCGCGACGGCGGTGGCCACCCCGCCAAACCCCAGAGTTCCCGGCCGCTCCCCGAAGGGTCCATTCTTTCTTGATGGCCCAGAGACCCGACAACGAGACCCCGGAAGCCGAAATCGAGGGAAACCTGCGGGACTGGTCAAAATCGTGCCGTCGGAGATCTGGGTCAGGAAGACAGGAACGCCCAAAGCTCATACGACAAGGCACACGACGGGCGGCGTCAGACCCGAGCTCCGCCAAGCTCGAGCCTCGCGCTGGCCCGAGTCTTCGCGCCCCTGCGCTGTGCCTCGCCTCCAGCCGAGCTCATCTCGGATACACGCGTGGCGCCGCTTGGATCCTCCTCCCCTCCTCCTCTGTGGATGCTCGGCTCCGCCAGGATGGCCGTCGGACTCGCTTCGTGGCCACCTCCGCCCGAGGCCCCCACGTCGGCGGCGTCCACCCCGCGCAGCAGGGCCCTCAGCCGCCCCAGCGGGCCGGGGCCGCGGGCGCCGTCGGGCCTCAGCCGCGCGAGCGCCTGCGCCGGGCGAGGTCGCGGTGGAGCCGCCGCGCCGCAAGGAGGCGGGCGCGAGGAGGAGGCGCGCGGCGTCCAAGAGAGCGGGCGACCTTTCGGTCAAACAAGGTTCCTCCCCTCGGGCGTCGCGGCGCACCGCCCGTCAATGATCTATATTATCCACGCTCTCGCGGTCTGCATGCCAGAGCGCGATCCCATGGATACGCAATGGCATGGATGCGTTCCGCGCGGCGGCATCCGCGAACAAAACGTCCCATATCCACGAGGTCACGACCCAAGGGCCAGGGCCATGGAAAAGAATATGTTTTCCGACCACGACGAAAGGCTCCATCCCCCAGGACGGTCTTGGTCTTCTGCACATTGCGGCCGCCTGGCGGCCCTCAGAAATCAGCCAGCCGGGGGGGTGCAACCCGGGGTAGACAAGGGAGGGGGAGGGGAGCATCCAAGGTCGACGCTTTTCGCTCCTGTCAGAACCCAGGAGCGAGTTCTCCCACAATCATCAAAGACTGGTCCGTGGTGGACAACTGGATGCGGGCGGACCCAAGGGAGGGTTTGGGAACGGACTCTGAAAGGACTCCGTAATCTGCACGAAGAGAAAGAAGGAGAGGGCGTTCTTTGTTTCTGTGTACTCGCGGGGGGGAAGATTTTGCACCCCGCCTCCCTGGCAGCCTCTGGAGGAAGCCGAGGGTTATAACTCTGGCCGTCTCTCGCGCTTACTAGGGGGATGGAGGAGATTCAACAAGCCCACCCCTCGCGCAGGCAAACGACAACGGCGACGACGACGGACGACTGACGACTGACGAGTGACAGCGACGACGGCGACGACCGCCAGCGACGGACACGACGACGACGACGACGACGACGACGATGACTACCTTGCGAACGTGTGGTCCAACACGTTGCGTTGCCGTTCAATTACTTCACCCTTTCCCTTGCATCCGCCCGATGAGTCTACGGATCAACCCAAATTGTGGGCGGCTTCTTTCCATACCAGCTCCTGGGAGAATCGTTCACCAGTGCTCTATACGCGCATCGCGCCGCCATGAAAGTCGGGCGAGCTAACGCCCACGCGGGGAATTCACCTTTGACTGAATTGCAAGGAAATCTCAGGGGACAGCGCCGATCTTGAGACTTTGGGCCGCTCTGACTAGGGAATCTCGGGAGTGAACTCTACGGAAGTCTCGGGCGGGAGCCGCTGTCGTTGTAGCTGGGCAGTCGCCAACTTCCAAGAATTGCAAGGAAGTCTCGGAAAACGGCGCTCCTGAGTTTGGGGGCGCCTCTGACCAGGGCTTACCAAAGCAAATTATGGGGAAGTGTCGAGCGGGAGCCGTTTCCGTCGTAGGGCCGTCAAGCACTGCAGTGCATTGCGAGGAAGTCGCCGGCGAGATCGCCGCCTCTGAGCAAGAAGGCCTCTCTGGCCAAAGCGTGAAGACGCATCAGGAGGAAGCCGGTATCGCCGTAGCTGGGGCTTCAACAGCTGAGATTTAAAACCAACCCCACGTTCGGGCGGAGATCCTCATTTTTTCAGAACATGTAGGTGGCATTGAGGCGAGAGCGCCCAGAACAATTTTCATACATCGCCAAATTTGTGCCCCAAGAACTCGGACGTCAAAATTATTTTTTTCCCGACGTGGGCCCCTCGAGCTCTCGACCCCATCCTTGAGATCAAGTCTTCGTCGCGGATAGTTCCCCACATGTTTCGTGGGGTTTTGGTTTTCTTCCCTGCCGCGGCGCACCCGCGTCTCCTCACATCTCCCCTCCTCCCTCTTTTTCCTCTCCTCACCCGCGCTCAACACATGCACGGCAAGTACATACAGCCGCAAGCATGCACACATTCGCACACAACACACACACACACACACCATACAACGCTAGTGCGCGCCTGGCGTGGTCACTGCATCACACATCCACGACGTGTGCGCCACATAGTGGGCACCCACATGAGACACGTCCCGATATGGCCGCTATGCACGACGGTCGTCCAGGCATAGCAGGCGTGGCACTTCCTCGACACCAGAGGGGGTGCGCTGGGGGTGGGGGCCCTATCCGTTTCGGGCTCGCAATGCGTGGCAGGCGTGGCACTTCCTCGACACCAGAGGGGGTGCGCTGGGGGTGGGGGCCCTATGCGTTTCGGGCTCGCAAAGCGTGGCAGGCGTGGCACTTCCTCGACACCAGAAGGGGTGCGCTGGGGGTGGGGCCCTGTGCGTTTCGGGCTCGCAAAGCGTGGCAGGCGTGGCACTTCCTCGACACCAGAGGGGGTGCGCTGGGAGTGGGGGCCCTATGCGTTTCGCGCTCGCAAAGCGTGGCAGGCGTGGCACTTCCTCGACACCAGAGGGGGTGCGCTGGGGGTGGGGGCCCTATCCGTTTCGGGCTCGCAAGCGTGGCAGGCGTGGCACTTCCTCGACACCAGAGGGGGTGCGCTGGGGGTGGGGGCCCTATGCGTTTCGGGCTCGCAAAGCGTGGCAGGCGTGGCACTTCCTCGACACCAGAGGGGGTGCGCTGGGGGTGGGGGCCCTATGCGTTTCGGGCTCGCAAAGCGTGGCAGGCGTGGCACTTCCTCGACACCAGAGGGGGTGCGCTGGGGGTGGGGGCCCTATGCGTTTCGGGCTCGCAAAGCGTGGCATGCGTGGCACTTCCTCGACACCAGAAGGGGTGCGCTGGGGGTGGGGGCCCGATGCGTTTCGGGCTCGCAATTCGTGGCAGGCGTGGCACTTCCTCGACACCAGAGGGGGTGCGCTGGGGGTGGGGGCCCTATGCGTTTCGAGCTCGCAAAGCGTGGCAGGCGTGGCACTTCCTCGACACCACAGGGGGTGCGCTGGGGGTGGGGGGCCCTGTGCGTTTCGGGCTCGCAAAGCGTGGCAGGCGTGGCACTTCCTCGACACCAGAGGGGGTGCGCTGGGGGTGGGGGCCCTATGCGTTTCGGGCTCGCAAAGCGTGGCAGGCGTGGCACTTCCTCGACACCAGAGGGGGTGCGCTGGGGGTGGGGGCCCTATGCGTTTCGGGCTCGCAAAGCGTGGCAGGCGTCGAGTACGACGAGCACTACGAGTACAACGAGTTTTTTTTTTTTTTTTTTTTTTTTTTTTTTTTTTTTTTTTTTTTTTTTTTTTTTTTCTCCCCCCAGTGCCAGTCCGACCCTCGCCCGACCAAAGTGCGGTCGACGGCGACGCCCTCGGCGACCCGGGGCCATTCCAAGGCCCCCGGTCCGCGGCGCCCAGCACCAGCCGCTCCTGCCCTACACGCCCCCCCGTTCTCTAGGGGCCTCGGGCAGTGTGCGGCGCCCGCCACCGCTGGTACACGCCCCCATTCGCAAGGGGCCTCCCAGGGTGCGGATCCGGCTGCTGGGGCCGCGCCGGGCCGGGCAGCGCTGGAGCCCCCTGCCGCACACCGCCCTTCTCGCATGCGCAGATCCCGGCGCTATAGCCGGTTGCGTCGGGGCACCGCTTCGCATCCCACGTCTCCCTGAGGAATGCCAGAGCCCGCTGCCCCAGAGCGCCTTTTTCGCACGCATTGTTCCCCGCGCTGTAGCCGATGACGTCGGGCTCCAGCTTCGCATCCCACATCGCGGTGCGCAGCGCCACTGCCTGTTGCCACTGTCCCCTCTTCTCGCACTCGCTGATCCCAGCATTGTGGCTGATGACGTTGGTCTGCAGTTTCGGTTTCCTCCTCTCGCCGAGCGGCGCCAGAACCCGCTGGCGCTGCGCGGCCTTCTCGGATGCGCAGGTTCGAAGATCCCGGCGCTGTAGCTGGTGACGTCGTCGTGCAGCCTCGCCTTCCGCATCTCCTGGAGGACGGCGAGGGCGTTGGCCTTGGCGTAGGCGCGAGCGCTGGTGCCGGCGGAGGCGCTGACCTTGGTGCTGGCGTGGGCGTAGGCGTGGGAGCTGGTGTCTGCGCTGGCGTTGCTGTTGCTTTCGTAGCTGGCGTCAGCGCATGCGTCAGTGCCCGCGTCCTCAGCCTCCTCAGTCTCCTCGTCCTCCTCTCCCTCTGCCTCCTCGTCCTCCTCGGCCTCCTCCTCCGCCTCCTCCTCCTCCTCCTCAGCCTCCTCCTCCTCCTCTTCCTCCTCCTCCTCCTCCTCCTCCTCCTCCTCCTCCTCATCCTCCTCCTCCGCCACGCCCTCATCCTCCTCCTCCTCCGCCTCCTCCTCCACCTCCTCCTCCACCTCCTCTTTCTCGATGACGCTGGCGTGGAAGCTGGCGGCGTCGCCGGCGTGGAAGCTGACGTCGTCCGAGCAGGCGTCGGTGCTGGTGTAGGCGCCGGCGTTGTTGCTGGCGTACGCGCTGGCGTGGGTGCCGGCATCAGCGGCTCTGGCGTCGGTGCTGTTGAAGGCGTCGGCGGCGCTCATCCCAGCGTAGGCGCAGTCGTCGGTGTCGTCGTAGGCGTTGGCGTCGGCACTGGCGTGGATGGCGGCATCCTCGGAACTGATATCGGTGCTGGCGTAGGCGCTGGCGTCCTCGAGTGCGTCGGCGATGGCGTCGCCGAGGGCTTTGGCGTTGGTGCTGGCGGAGTTGGCGGTGGCGCTGGCGTTGCGGGAGGCGCGGGCGTTGCCGTAGGCGCTGGCGTGGGCGCTTGCGTAGGCGCATGCGTCCTCCGTCACCTCCTCCTCGACCTCGTCCTCATCCTCCTCCGCCTCCGCCTCCACCTCTGCCATCGTCGCCTCCTCGTCCTCCCCGTCTTCCTCCACCTCGGCGTTGGGGTTGGCGTAGGCGTAGGCGTTGACGTCCGAGCTGGCGTCGAAGGTTCTGGCGTTGCTGGCGTCAGGCATGGCGTTGGTGCCGGCGTAGGCGCTGACGGTGGTACCGGCGCAGGGGTGTTCCTCCTCGGCCTCCTCCTCCCCCTCTTCCTCCTCCTCCTCCTCCTCCTCCTCCTCCGCTGTTGCCGTCGCCTCTTCGTCCTCCACGTCCTCACACACCATCGCGTTGGGGCTGGCGTAGGCGTAGGCGTCCTCGATTGCGTCGGCGATGGCGTCGCCGAGGGCTTTGGCGTTGGTGCTGGCGGAGTTGGCGGTG